ACTTGTCCCCACCCAGGCCTTTACTCATCTGGAGGAGGACCTCCAGGCTGAACCTTTTTTTCCAGGCTGAGGTTAGGCAGCCCTAGGCTAAGGGCTGGGCAGGACCCAGGTCCCAGAAGCGTAGGTGGGGGCCGGTGCCCCAGGCCCCAAGCCCAGCAGCTGTGTCAAAGGAGGCAGGCCCGCCTGCCGACCCACAGAGGCAGCTGCGGAGCAACAGGGGCCTGGCTGCCCGCTCCAGCCCTGCCGGCCGGCTCAGCGCTTCCCCGCGGTGGGGGCTGGACCTGGAGGGGCGGGGGGAGCAGCGCGAGGAGGAGGAGAGGGAAAACGTCGCGCGCAGCAGAGCTTGAGTGCTCGCTGTGTGGCAGGCACTATTCAAAGCGCTTTCCTAATTTCAGCGGATTCAGTGCTCTCAACAGTTCTGTGAGGGAGGCAGCACTATTACCCCAGTTTTACGAATGAGGATGCTGAGCCAGATGGATAAGGGCAAGAGGGGCTTTGGCTTGAGTCATGGGCAGAGCTGGCTGCACCGAGAGGGGCCAGGCCCGTGGGGCCACTGCTCATCCCACCCTCAGCCCAGGTCACTCAGGCCTGGGTTCTGGTCCCTACCCTGCCATCCACTGACAAGACCTGAGCCCCAGGTGCTTCTTCCACAAAATGAGGGCCTCGCGTGGGGGAGTGTTAGGGCTTTGTTAATCCGTATCCCAACTTCACCATTTAGAAGCTGTAAAAATGTGGACAATACTAGTGCCTACCTCACGGGTGGTTGTGAAGATGAAATGAATAGGCCCTGAGATTGTGCCAGGCAGACAGGAAGAGCCATGTGAGTGCTGGCTGTTATTAGAGTTCTTACTAATTGCTACTTGAGCTCTTCTCTATCACCCTGGGCAGGTCCCTGCCCTTCCTCTGTCTCCATTCTTTGAGATGGGATTTAGTCGCTCCCAGCGGGGGGCGGGGGGGGCGGGCAGAGCTGAGTGGAGACCACAACCACCAGGAGCTCACTGCACTGTGATGGGGGGACTCCGGGGAGCCCAGCAGAAGCAGGCGGTCCAGGGCAGGTGGCCTGGAGGGAGGGGCACAATTCACGCTGGGCAGAAACCGGTAGAGAGGACTGGGGGGTAGATAGAGAGGGTCTGCTGGCAAGTAGGGGTTCTCGAAGTGTCAGAACTCCCCCCACACTTGTTAACAGTACAGATTCTACATCCCCCGTCCCCTAACTGTGAATGCCTGTGGAGTGGGACCCCAGAATCTGGTTTTAAAGCAGGCCTTTCCCAGGTGACTATGAGGCCCAACTAGCCCCCCCGATACAGTCAGGTTGGTGGGGGTCCAACTGGTATACCGAGGTGCAAATGGGTCAACCAAGACCTGGGCAGGTGGGCCCAGTCAATCCACACAGCCAGGCAGGGTTCAGGGACGGCACTGGGGAGGGGACCGTCTCCCAGGCTGGGGGCTACTGATGACTGTCTTTCCCTCACTTTGACTGGAGCCGCCAGGCCTAAGATTAGCATGGTAGCCCAAGGCAACAAGGCCAGGCTGCCAGGCCAAGTCTGCTCATTGCTTGAAGTAGGAATTGGAGGCTCAGGGGAGCCCACTCAAGGGTGTGAACATGGGGTCTTCAGTGACCTTAGGCGTCCCCCACGCCTGTCCTGGGGGACGGAGGCGGAGGCTGCCTGGTCAGCAGCTCTGGAAGGGAAGCTGCTCCCTCCTTCAAACTCAGGCCAACTTTGGGCCAGTGAGGACCTGACACCTTCGGGGTGTCCCCTGGGTGAGGTGGCCTCTCCTTCCCCGACCCGCACCCCAGGCCACCCCAGGACCCTATCCCAGCTCTGAGGTGGGAACCACATCTGGCTTCAAATCCTAAGCCACCCCCTTGCTAGCTGGATGACCCCAGGTAAGCCACTTGTCCACTTGGGCCTTGGTTTCCTCATCTGTAAAGCGTCACGAGGACTCCATGAGATGCTTTAGAACAGGAGTGGAGCGCAGGGCCGGGCAGGGTTTGCACCCGGTGAGCCAGCTGTTCTCAGGACTCGACACTTGGGGACACGCGGGCATTCTCAGGCGCGTCAAACAAGATCCCGCTTCAAGACCTTCACACGCGCTCTTTCCTTGCCTGGAACACTTGGGTTTGCTTAGCCAAATCCTTCACTTCCTTGTCATGACTTAAATGACACTTGCTACAGGAAGCCTCCCTGATGTACTTCCCCGACTCAGGACGCCCTCCCCTGCCCGGTTTTCTCTGGCTACCTCTTCTCACCCACCTGACTTCTTTATGTGTGTATCACTTGTCTTCCCAGCTTGAGGATGTGCTCCTTGAGGGCTGGGTTTGTAATGCTGTTCACTGCTGCGTCCCCGGTGCATAGAACGGTGCCTGGCACCCAGTAGGTACTGGACACAATTTGAAAATATATATATGTTACAAAAAGATCTGACGCAAATATGACAAAATGTAACATGTATAGGTGGTGGGTGCTTCTGTGGCTTCTGTTATTTTATTTTTGTGTGCTTGAAATATTTAATTAAAAAATAAAACAACAATCCATGCTATTTGGGAGTCAAGTCCGCAGGGGGGGGGGTTGGTGGGACGTGGGGGGACGGGTGGGTGAGCAGGGGTGTCCCCGAGACGCTGGCATGCATCGAGGGCGCCCGGGGACAGGTGCCACATCTGCACTCTCTCTCTTTGAACGGTTCCAGCGGTTCTGGTGGTAGAGACAATGCCACTTTACAGACAGGAAATGGAGCTAAGAGTGGAGAAGTGACTTGCCTAAGGTCACCTGCAGAGGGAAGGGAGAAGGAGCGACAAGGGGAAAGTCCACATGGAGGCCGATGTGGCGCAGCAGAGTGAATGGAAGGAGAAGCCGGGGAGAGGGCCCTGCCTCCCAGGAGCTGGCCTCGGTCCCGGCTGGCGCCACAGCCCTCCTCTGTGCCCGAACCGTACCGGCCATTTCTGCTTGGTGGCTCCCCCAGGGGCCTAGCAGGCAGAGGGTTCCTGGAGCGGGGCCTGGGCTGGAAGGAGATGAGGGACAAAGCAAGCAGCGTGTGGGGACTGACCAGACGCCCCTGGGGAGCCCGAGCCGGGAGGCTCGCCCCGCACAACCTGTGTGGCATGCTGAATGGGGCCGGCTCTCAGGGCGCTCTTCAGGGCCCAGGCAGGGGAGGTGGCAGCGGGTCTGGGGCCCCCATTCAACGGAGGGTGAACTGTGTGTTGGGTGCCAGTGAGAGAAAGCCCAACAGGTAGGGGGGATGTTGGGTGGACCCAGCTTGTCCTCATTTTATAAGGAAGGACGCTGAGGTTCAGGAAGAAGTGGCCGGACCACGGTCACATGGGGGGTAATAGCACGGGTCTCTGACCTCCAGCCCACTGCGCCTTTTCTGGGTGCAGGGGTCTCAGCCCTGAGACACGCTGAGCCAGGATGCTGAGGGTGCTTTCCTTGGCTTTTGCTGGGCCACAGAAGTTTGGGATTTGGGTGTCCCTGCCCCTTCCAGGGTGTTTCAGGCTCCAAGGGCTGGCCAGTGAGCAGCTGGCCATTGTTACAGGCCTGTTGGAAGGTGGAGTTCTGTGTTTCCTTCCTCTCCGTGGCCCCAAGTTCCTGCCTCTGTCACTTCATCTTTCTGGACCCTAGTTTTCTCATCAGGAAAATGGGAGTGAGCAGTAAGCGCTACCACTTAACGACACCGAGCGCGTCGCCGGGGCCAGGCGCCGCAGCCATTCCTTCCATCCAGTGCCCATTTCACCAAGGAAGGAATCGAGGCCAGAGACGTTAAGGAATCTGTCCAAAGTCACACAACTAGTACGTGGTAGAGTCAGCTATGGGCCCAGGCCTCAACGTGAGGCTTTAGGGGTTGGGGTGAGAACTAAATGAGGCGATTTGTAAAGTGCCTCACTCACAGCGAGAGTCCAGAAGGCAGGAGCTAGCTCCTAGCGTCCCCCCTGGAGAGGAAGCACGGGGACCACACAGCGCGGCGCGGCAGGGCGGACAAAGCCAGTGGTCTGGGGAGTCCAGCAGCAGCCCTGAAGAGACTGGGTGGAAGGCAGGGGTGACTCCAGCAGGAGCAGCCTAAGGCAGAGGGCACTGGCATGGGCCGCAGCTCACAGGGGAGCCCCAGCTGGTGTGGCTCAGTGGGCTGAGCGTCGGCTTGTGAACCGAAAGGTGGAAAGTTTGATTCCCAGTCAGGGCATGTGCCTGGGTAGCAGGCCAGGTCACCCAGGGGGGGCACCGAGAGGCAACCAACCCATGTATCTAGCACATGGATGTTTCCCTCTCTTTCTCCCTCCAAATAAAATCTTTAAAAAAAAGTTCATAGGGGAGAAAGCCCGAGTGAACTGTGGCCCCTCTGCATTTCCACTAACACTGGGAGCCTGGCTGAGGAGGGCAGTAGTAGGGACCCCAAATTCTCGCCTCTGGGGCCCCATTCCCCCTCCAAAGCTAGCGGGTCCACCCCACTCTGAAGCACAGTCACTTGGACTCTGCTGCCCCACTGTGGACACGGGGGAGAACTGCACCCTGAAACCTCCCTGGAGGACCGTGGTCTCCAGTGCCGAACAATGGCTGCAAGAGCCAGCTGTCAAATTTTAAGAATTTTTGCAAGTCAGTTGTTAAAACAAAGCCATTATTAAAAATTAAATTATATAAAATTAAATTGTATTAAAAGCAAAGGTAGTGTTCAAAACTAAGCACTTTGTATTTCATGGTATCTTGCCATTGTCTGTGCTCTTTAGTTGCATCTGCTACCTGTGCAGGGCAGATGTGTTTCTGCACAGGTGGTCACCACTCCGTGTTCAGCTGCTCGGCAGTAGCGGCCCAAGATCAGCCATGACGCAGGAGTACTTACACCATGGAAATTGGCAGATACCACAAATCAGGCTCGATTTATTGTTGATTTTCTAGACCCGTGCCATCCAATAGAAATATAATGCAAGCCACACACATAATTTTAACTCTTGAGTAGCCAGATTTAAAACATTAACAGGAAACAGATGAAATTAATTTAAATAGCATTTTATTTAACCCAGTATGTCCAAAATATTATTTCAACACATAATCAGTATCAAGTAACTAATGATGTATTTTACACTCTCTTTTTCACCCTAACTTCAAATTCTGGTATGTGTTTTACACTTAAAGCACATCTCAATACAAACTAGCCACATCCTCAGGTGTTAAACAGCCGAATTGTCCAGGGGCGGCTGTATTGGACAGCACAGGTCTAGATTTAAGAAGTAGAGAGGGAAAACATTATTGATGCAGATTGAATTTAAAAGTAGTGCTGAGGCTGAGAAATTTCAATCCAATTAACAATTTGTTCAACGATGAGAAATCAGTAGGTCATGTATCAGATTTAATGACAATAAGTTTACTGGTAAAAGAGCAGTGTAGTAGGCTGAGCAGTGGCCCCCAAAAATATCAGGTCCTAATCCCTGGAACTTACAAATTTTTTCACATTTTATACTTTTTTACCTTGCAGATGTGATTAAAGATCTTCACATGGGTCCTGGCTGGTGTCGCTCAGTGGACCGAGCGCCGGCCGGCCTGTGAAGCAAAGGGTTGCTGGTTCAATTCCCAGTCAGGGCACATGCCTGGGCTGCAGGCCAGGAAGGGGCGTGTGAGAGGCAACCACACACTGATGTTTCTCTCCCTTTCTTCCTCCCTTCCCCTCTAAAAATAAATAAAATCTAAAAAAAAAAACAAAAACCTTTACATGGGAGATTATTTTTAATTATCCAGCTGGGCCCTAAATCCAGTCACACAAGTGTCCTAGTGAGGGAGGCAAAGGGAGATTTGGTAAACAGAAGAGAAGGCCATGTGGCCACAAGTCCAGGAGATGTTGGCGGGTAAGGACTGGAGTCTCCAGGAGCTGCATGGCCCCGCTGATACTGTGATTTCAGCCCAGTAAGAGCTATTTTGGATTTTTGACCACCAGAACTGTGAGAAAATACATTTCTGTTGTTTGTGGTAAACTTGTGGTAACTTGTTACAGCGGCCGCAGGAAACTAATACAAGCAGATGGGATGCAATTCCGTTTACCATATTGTGGCAATTCTGAATTAGCACCACAGATAGGCTACAAACATAAGAATTCAGCTCCCCCCGCCCCCAAAAAGAAATCAACAAAAGCATTGTGAAAAACGACCAGTTATACAGAATTTATAATAAAGAGTACTGTATATTTTATTTGTAATTTATGTGCTACACATCTTTTATATCAGTACAATTTATAATAACGTGTGTATATGACATATACCAGGTCTGTCTTGTATCCTCAGCACCCAGCACAGAGCTTGGCACACAACAGGATACTCAAATAGTTTTTGAATGAATGAACATGACTTTGGATCTGTTTCCCCCACCACATAACAGGGTTGGAGAAATGGGATGGGCTCCCCAGGTGGGCAGTACTGGTGCCAGATGTTGTTAGAGCACCTACTGTGTGCAGGACTGGGCTGGGGGCAGAGACTGATGGGGCACAGCACCGAGCCCAGACAGCTGGTGCCCCAGGAGACGGCTGGGAACAGTCAGATTCAGGAAGTCAGGTTCCTTAAGGCCTTTGCAGGCTTGGGGACTGTTCAAAGGATTGTCACAGGCCGAGAGAGAGGGCACTAAGGAGCCACTGTACGGGTGCAGACCCTGAAGCCAAGGACACAGCAGCCTTGCTGGGGCTGGACCCCCTTTCCTTAGCCTCTCCTGTCCCTCCCTCCTGCTGGGCCAAGGGCCTCTTTCCCCCAAGAACTAGGAGAAATCAGAGTCTGGCTTTGTCACAGCTGCAGAAGAGAGTCCCCCTCAGCCCCCTAGTTCTCCATGGCAGCCCCCATCCCATTCTCCTAGTCAGGCCCAGGCACGGAGCCGGGGGTGCCCGCCTCTGTCATGTACAGCCTACACGATCTTTCGCAAGTCACTTTCCCTCTCAGTCCCAGTGCCTCCTCTCTGGGGCACCCAGGGCCCAGTCCGCAGCCCAGCGCCTACCCCTGCGGGCCCAGCTGGCCGACCTGTCAGCAATCTGCAGGACTGAGCCCCGGCGGGCATCTCGTCCCATCTGGACTCTCCTCACTGTTAAATGGACAGTTAAGTGGCCTGCCAGGTTCCCACAGCAAGAATTTGGCCTAGCAGGCTGGCTCTGGGCACTGGAAGCGAATGAGGGACCCCTGCACCAAAGCCCTTGACCAAAACCTGGGGGCCGGGTGCGGGATCCGGAGGAGGTAAAACCCTGTGGGCCGCAATCCCATTCCGTCCCCAAGTGTCTGTCTCGCGCCTGTATCCGTGTGCCAGAACTCTACTGCGTGCATTTTGAAAGCCAGGACCAGAAAAGTTTTGCTCACTACCGGGGCCCCAGCGTGGGCTTGGCCAGACTATAAGAACTCAAGAATTTGTTGAATGAGCAAAACCACTTACACATCTTCTACCGAGACCAGGCTCTACCTGCTGCCTTTGCTCACGCTGCCCTCCCTCACGGCACACAGCCTCCACGATCACCCCAGGTGGAAAGGCTTCCAGAACTCAGCAGCGTACGATCCCGACTCCAGGGTACGAGCCACAGCACCCTGGGCACCCAGACACGTGGCTTATGAAACCTGTCCTTCTGGGCGTGGCAGAAAAAGCAGAAGACAAGTCCACCTTCAGCCCTCAGCCCTGTGTCAGCGACTGGTCTCTCCTAGGGAGCCCTGGTGGGCAGTAGGCTCTGCCCTCCACCAACCCCCTGTTTAGAGTTTAAAGAGAAAATAAAGGGATTAAGGAAGCACCAAAGGCAGGCCCTCTCTCATGACAGGATCAGACAACTGTTTCAAAATATATTAGATTTGGTTTTTATTGTAGAGCACACGTATGAAGGCAAAGTGCTGCACACACAACTACAAATCATTTTTGGGGAAAAAAGCTTTAAAAAAACAAAACAAAAACAAACAAAAAAACCCCCTGCAACTGCTTTAGTTATGCAGTTCCAACCTGGAGTCACGCGGGCAAAGGCGCTCTGGCCCGAGGGGTTTCTTGACGGTGGTGGCCCGGCTCCTGCAGCCGCAGGCTCAGGCCTCTGTGGAACGGGGGTCCCCTGCGGTGGCAGCAGCCTGGGCACTGCAAGCGCCTCTGCTCTCCGCAGGCCTGGCCTGGGCCCCGGCTGGCAAGGAGACGTTTCTAACAGACCCAGACCAGCAAAGCCTTGTAGTCCTCGAGAATCGGAGTCGGTGGAAACTGCCAAAGACTACTTTTTTCCTTTTATCACTATTAAAAGCTCCTTCCCAGCTCCCATGCCCCACAGCAGAAGAGACACCAACCCAGTGTGCAAACCTGAGCTCCGGCTGAGGCTGCAGGTGGACAGGGGCGGGCACCTTCCTACAGGGATGGCGTGGGGAGAAGGCCCACACTGGCCAATGCCGGAGAGAGGAAAGGGGAGGAAAACGACAAGAGACCGAAGGAAAAAAATAAACTGAAAACAAGTCCCTACTACACACCACAACAGTTTTCCATACCCCAATCGCTAGACTTGGAAGGACACCAGTCCCTCTAGCAAGAAACAATTCCTAAAACCGCCCCAACATGGCAACTCTAACTGTTCATACAACCACACGCATATATGCCTGAAAGGAGCAATCCAGCAGAGAGCGGTACTCTTGGCAAGAGGCCAGGACCCCTGCAACCAGCCCCTGAGCAGCCAGGGACCTGCAGGCAGAGCAGGCTGCTGGGCGTGGAGGACGCCCGGGGCCCAGCCAGGAGCCCTGGGGTGCAGGGGTTGGCGTTCTTTAAGCCCCTGCCTCGTCGTCCCGAATGACTTCGCCACAGGAGGAAGAGGGTGCTTGCGTGACGTTCCCGAGCCTGGAGAGCAGGTGACAGGTGGAAGGACGGCAGAACCCCCGTGCGGCCAGCAAGGCCCAGGAGGTCTCAACCCAGCTTTGACATGGAGGGGGAGGGAAGGGAGGAGACTGAACTTCATTGACAACACTGAGGAGGGTTTACATATAAAGCAAAACCGTAACTTTCTTAACCAAAACATTCTGTTTCTTTTAAATTAAACTGGCCTGACACAGCCGCACTTGAAGATGGTCGCCCGGCGTGCCTCTAGGGCCACTGCAGCGTGAGTTTCTCTCAGCCTTTCCATCCAGGAGGAAAACCAAGAACTAATTCTGTTCTTCAGCCTTAACAGGCAACAAACCATGGGGGGAAAGGGGTCAGAAAAACAAAAATAAAAACAAAACCCCTCAAAACAAAACAACGGGGTGGCTACGTGAGGGCTGACCAGAGTCCCAGAGAGGCCGCGGCGGCCTCAGTGCCTCCGCATCTTCACCTTCCGCGTGGGGCTGCCCGCGGCCTCCGAGCAGTCCTCCCCGGACTCGTAGGACTTGCGCCAGTAGTTCTCGGAGCTGAAGCTCCCCCTCCGCCGGTGTGCGGGCAGCAGCACTGAGCGCCGGTTCTCTTCTTTGTCCATCTCCAGGATTCTAGGCCTGCAAGGCATTGGGGCGGGAGGAGGGGGAGGGCAGGGTTACCAGAGAGGCTGGCTGAGGGGCAGAGCCTCCCACCTCTGCACCTGGCGCTGACCCTCATTTGCAAATGGCTCGTTCCAGCCTGATGGTTCACCCCAGAGGGGTGGTACTGGCAGACGCCATGGCACTGTGGTCCCTGCCAACTAAGTGCTAGTGGCCACCCTAGTCCGAGACATTTCCCAAATACCCTGTAGGGTCCGCTTGGCCCCGAGTCTGGTGCCCCGAGACACTGCCGAGGCTGGCAGACAGAAAGAGGCCTTCCCTATCCCAGCCTGACACCCTGCACAGTCCTGCCGTCTCCCTCTGCCTCTCAGCCCCATCCCTACTGCTCCCGCTTTCTCTCTCTGCTCACTTCCTCTCTATGCCCACCCACCCCTCCAGCCCCTGAAACAACCGGGCTCTTCCTGCCTCCGTGGTTCAGCCCACATAGCACCTCCTGCCTAGACTGCCTTCCCACAGGTCTTCCTCATCCTTCCGGTCTCAGCGCAAACAGTACTTCCTCAGAAACCTTCCCCAGTCCTTCTAAAACAGGCCCCTGGTCCACTACCTCCACAGTCCCAAGCTTCCCTCCTAACATTTATGTACAATCCACAGGACTGTCTGGGTGGACTGAAAGCTGGAAATCATGGTCAGGCCACAAGCATTCCCATTTGTCGGAGTCCTGGCCCAACCCCTTCTCGCTGGGATATAACGCCATCAGTCAGGGGTTAAGTGAATGCCACCACTTGTTCATACACCACTGCCACCAACCCAGGGGAACTAGACAGAAAAAGCTTTAGAAAGGTGGTCAGGCTCCTAACCACCTATCCCAGGCTTCCCTACCCACCTCACCCTCCAGCTGGACCATGGGGCTTCTTCGCTAGCCTTTGCTGCGGGTCCTACCTGTGAGCAGCATCAGGGTCTGCCTTGCGGTGGGACCGCTTAGGTTTCAGAGCGGGGTCCCTGTTGTTTCCTGATAGGCGATCCGAAACATAGCTGGGCGGTAACACGGAGCTGCTGAGGGTCTTCGTCTCCAGCCGGGGCGCGTCTAATCTTGTCCTGCAAGAGAAACAGGCACGGGATTACCGGTGAGCCTAGGCAGGGGGGCGGGGGTGGATCCTGACAGGCCAGCTCTCCCCAGGCAGGCCGAGTATGGAGGCCAGAAGCTCTGCTCTGCCCCTCGGTCTCCTGTAGTTCAATCTTGGATTGTTTGGCTGACTTCCAAAGATGCTCCTTAAGTTCAGCTTAGGAGCAGGGAACGAGAACACTCCTGCAGAGAGACTTCCGGGACAGGAGCCACAGCCCCCGGGGAAGGCCCCTAGGGTACTCTTTCAGTTGGGCGACGCAGCCCAGGCACGGAGAGCATCCAAGGCATTCCCACCCGCCAGGGCGCTGAGGGCCCTGCGGTAGGCACCAACACGCTCCGACAGACAACTTCACCCTCGCCTGAACACCAAGACAGGAAGGCTCTCCCGGGCCAGGCCTGCGGAGGGGCTGGAGGGGAACAGAGCGTGGGTTTCCCACTCTCACACACGGACACCGAGGCTGTGGCAGGGCCGGGAGAGCCCAGGCCCAACTCCACATTCATGTGCCTGATTCTTGTCCCCCCACAGCCACCTGGAAGCTTTCGTTCATTCCAGGATCCTGACTGGGCCAAGGGCTTTTTTTATTTTTTATTTTTTTAAAGACTTTTATTTATTGAGAGAGAGAGAAAAAGGTAGGGAGAAAGATAAGAAGAGAAACATCTACCAGTTGCCTCACATGCCCCCAACTGGGGACAGAACCTGCAATCCACACACGTGCCCAGACTGGGCGTCAAACCGCTGACTTTGCGGGATGAGGACCAACCACCTGAGCCATGTCAGCCAAGGCCCAAGGGCTTCCGAAGGCAAAGCCCCTACCTAGTACCAGGTACGAGTTTCAAGGAATATATTGCCTCGTAAAGGAAGAACACGCAAGTAAGGTCAAGGAAGGGGTTGCAGAAGGTGGTCAGGGAGGTCACCCAGGACAGAGATCTGAAGCCAGGTCAGGGAAACCTCAAAGAAGCCCAAGGCTCCTTGAATGGCACAGAGCAGGCTAGCCGGCAAGTCAGGCTGGCACAGCAAGGGGCTGGAGAGAGGCCCGGGATGAGGAGTGGGGGGTGCAGCGGGCAGAAGGCTCTGAAGGCACTTTTCCCACAGGCTGCTGGGCGCAAAGCAGTGTTTCGGTTCCGAGGGAGAAGGCGCTGCGACCAGGGCAGGACTAGGAGTGGGGGTGGGCCCTAGGCCGCCTGGCCCATCCCGCCCTCACGGCTCGGCTCCCCTCCCCCCGCCCCTGCTGGCCGGCCTGCTGTAAACAGATGGGGAAAACGGGGTCATAAAAGCAGCAAGTCACACGTCCTGAAGTCTTGGGAGAAAGGTTTAAGCCTAGGTGAGGCTCCAGGCCAGACAGGCAGAGGTCACAGGGCACTGACCCTGGGAAGGGGTCTTCTCCCGAGGCCAGCAGTGGTCACACACATTCTGATGTCTCAGGCTCAAGCTCGTGGGCAGGCAGGCAGGGCAACGGGTCCCTGCCCCTTTGCGTTGGCTTCACAGAGGCGGAGGCCAGAGTTGGGGCACAGCTCCTCCGGGCTCAGCCTCCACTCTGGCCACTCCAGGACCTAAGAGCAAAGGAAGGTCCAGCCCTCGCCACCATCCCTCTAGGGGCCTGTTTTCCATTCTGAGCAAAGGAGGGAGAAATGCGACAGGCTTTAAGGCCCCTTTTAGTTCTCAGGGTCTAGAAACTGAAGACAAGCCTCTTTCCTCAAGGCTAGGTAGGATTCTCTAGAGCAGCACCAGGAAGAGGGAACACCCAGCTGCTGCAGAACACCCATACAGGAAGGCGAGCCTTAGAGTCACCTGAGCCCTGAAGCCCTCCCCTCTTCTGTACCAGGCCACACCTCACACCCTGCGCCGAGAGGTCCTCGTGGCAGAGAGCAGACCAAGTGAGACATCAGCCATAGAGCTTAACTCCAAGGACTGCAGGAGTCTGAAGTCTCGTGGACGAATGTTCCCTCTGGCACCACAAAGCTAAGTCCTACACCAAGATCCCACCTGGGCCAGGGAGTACACATGCAGAGTAGACAAGCCCCGTGATGCCAAAAGCCCCTGGTGAGCAGGGACTAGCACCCTGGAGCTGTTTCCTCGGGTTAGTGACAGACGGCAAGAAAGGAGCAGAGCCACGCAGAGAGCCCAACCCGCACACTTGCGGGGCGGGAGAGCACAAGGGTGCCCTGCCGTGCAGGCACAGCGGGTGCAGGCACAGCGGGCACAGGCCAAGCCCTGGTACGACCCCGCCCTGCCTTAGCTGCTCACTCTCTGAGTGGCCCGCCTGGGCAGCCGGGGCCAGTGGTGGCAGCCCCTCACGGTGGGTCCAGGGCCGTGGAGAATTTGGGGAGAAAGGTATGACCAGCCCAGACTGGATATATAGGCCAGGAACACCGGCTGGCTTTGCAGCTCTCTTGCTGCCTAAATGAGGGAAGGGGGGCTGTTCTTCCCACGGAACAGCTCCTCGGCTATCGATGGGCAGCTCTCAGAGGCAGGGAGACCAGAGATGGCCCCGGATGAAGTCTAGACTTTAGGGACAGTACAAGCTCTGGGGCCCCACAGGGCTCCTGACACATCCCCTGGGGCTGTTACAAGTACATTTCAGAAAAGCTGGGGAAGCTCCCGCCCTCCTTCCACTCCCAGAAAGCCATGGGGCTGTAGGAAGCCAGGCGGGAGCCAGGTCCCAAGCCCAGAGCCCGCCAGCAGCTTCGCTCAGAGCACGCCCCTCCTAAAAGGCAGCCAATTCCCAGGGAGCAGGCCAGGCCCCTCAGGGCTCAGTGCACAAAGCTACAAATTCGGAATCAGGACGCCCAGTTCCAGCAGGAAGGTCTGGGCCTTCTCAGGGGCCAACAGGAGCGAAGACCTGCGGTACAGATCCGCGTCAGCATCCAGAGGTCTCAGGACGGTGCTTGAGATGAGGGCTAACCAGGCTCTGCCACACCAGAAAGGTCACCCAGGGTTTCAGGACGGCCCCCAGGACAAAGCAGGGTCAGGACCTTGGTACAGGGGAAGCCAGAACAAAGGGAGGGTGACAGCATTGATGTAATGCATTACCATGTGACCTGAGGGGCGGGAAGGCGGGGACTGGGTCCCAGGCGCTCCCCTCCGGTTCCTTTATCACCCCGGAATCCAGCAGAGGAACTGCTGGGGAGGAGTATACCGACCGTGGGCTGGGAAACAATAGTAATTCGGAGACCAAGTCACTGGCTTAGGTCACACCGCTACCACCCCACGATGGCCTCTGGTGCCCAGAAGGGCTGGCTTCACTGCGGTGGAACAGAGCTGTCTGTGTAGGCAGACCCCCATTTCTAGGGGATGGTGAGCCGGCCTGTATTCCAGGTCCCCCTGCCAACCGCTCCTCCCACTTCTGGCTCCACCCTCCCCAAGCACCCTTGAGTTACAAAGCCTGGCTTCCCCAAGGGAGGTAGGAAGCAATGTGGTGGGCTCTCTGAGCACCCCTGTCTACTGAGTGACCTAGGCCCCTAAGCTCTAGCACCTCTGAGTAGCAGACTCCACGAAGCCCAGATCTGTACCACTGTCTCCCCTACAACAGTACCCACCCCCTTGGGGGCACCCCCTCATCTTCTACCAACCTCCCTCAAACATCACCCAGCTCTGCCACTCCTGCCGTGCTCGCCCACAAGGCAGTCCTGAGACAGGTGTAAGGCACCTGCTATAGTCAGAAGGGCCTAAAGGGCACATGAGGAGGATTACCCAAAGAGGGGGTGCCCCAAGCACATAGTCCTGGGCTTCCAGCAGACCGCTTCCCAAACACAGCCTGAAAGCTACCCAGGCCCCAAGGGGAGCCTTTCCAGATCACTCAGCCTGGTTACAACAAGTGCCCAAGGACCCCCCAGTCCAGGCCTGCCGAAGTCTAGATATCCTCCTCCAGGAACTGGGCAACCAGACACTGACCTTGCTTTCCTTCACCTGAGCCACTGAACATGTCTGCCGGTGTCCCTTTCCACCCGGCTCCATGTGCCTCTGCTCACACGGTGTGTCGACTGGACACAGCCTTCCTCAGCGCCTGCCCTGCCCCCGCAAGATCAGAGGGGAGGTGCGGTAAGGAAGGGGCCGGGAGAAGCACACGCTGCACTGTGCAGTTTCACCAGGCCCAGGCACCGCAACTGCTCCAATTTGCAGGTGAGACCATAAGGCTCAGGTAACTGACTTGCACTCAGCAAGGAAGAGGCAGAGCCAGGCCAGGAACCCAGGCAGCCACGTCCCCCGGTGGTGTCATCACCCCCTTACTCTGCGGACAGGCTGTGAACACAACAGGCCGGTCACGCTGCCAAATGGGTCGGCTGTATGTGCACGGGCACACATTTGCTGAACCAGAGAGGAACAGGGGACAAGAATCATGAAGACAGAAGTGATGGCGGGGGTCACGCCTCAGATCTGGCCAGGGTCAGGGACACCCAAACGTGTCCACTCATCCCCACCCACCTGAGAGATGACGCCCAGAGGGGCACCCTTGATTCTCACCTCAGCATAGCCACACACACAGCCTCACACTAGGGCTGCTCTGCTTTCAGGGAGGGTCTCCCCGCAACCCTGGGTCTCCTTGGCCTGAATGACCAAATAAGCCTTTTAGCTCAGCCTCCTACAACAATCTCTGCCATGCGAACCCCCTGCCCCAACACCCCTGCGCTTCGGCGGCTACCCAGCGCCCCCCCGATTCCCCTGGCACAGCACCAAGCCTTTCCTGACTGCCTCACGTTCTACCAACTGCTCCAACCCATCTCTGCTTGTGTCCAGAATGGACCCCCTCAGAGCTCCGGATGCCAAGCCTCTGTAAAGAGTGCCTCTTCCATCTGAACTCTGCCCGAGCCTCTTCCGTGCCTGCCTGCGCCTACACATCCATTGACCACTTTCAGGTGGCACTTTTCTAGAAAGCTTTCCTTGGACAACCCCTGGTGAGGAGCTGAATGTCTGCCTTCCCCCGAAGGACACAGGGAAGAGGAGACATTTCTGGCAGCAGCACAGAGCCTGGCT